TGGATGGGAAATTACTCTCTCTCTCTCTCCCTTGCGCTTTCAGGACTTAAGAGATGGGGGGTTGGGGTTGGGGGGGGGGGTCGGCGGAAACAGGAGTTCGCTAACGACCCTCCCCGAAAGCCGACCTGTGCAGTGTGTACATGCCGCGTAGGTATCGGGTTCAGTCTCTCTCATTAACTTTAACATTTTGTAGTTTTGTTCAAGGAAGACCGTAATTGGCAAGGGAAAAGATAAAATTCCCCCGAAAGCACGTCGACTCGTGCATAGAGCCGAGAGAAATAGGCATGTAATTCGCAAAAAATGCAGCATTTCATCCGGATAATGTATAATATTTTTCANATATATATCCACCCAAGAAAGAGAACGGGCAGGGGGTGTGGGTATACGTTGTATATAGGTATACAAAGCAAGGATGTCGTTAACGCGTCGAATAATGCATCCATATAGGTATTGTGTGCGGGTGTGGGTGTGTGTATATATAGGGGGAGGACCGAGAGCGCGACGAAAGGTGTGTGCGACGACGACGAGGAGCGGATCCATTAATACGCGATGCGCCGCAGCAGAGGGAATAGCCGAGTCGTTCTCTTTCGCTGAGCAAGGGTGTAATGTACTGTACAGGTATACGTGTGGTATCTTTTGTACACGGGAGCTTCGTACATATCTGTATATATATATATATATACCGGTGCAGTGGGTCCTTTTGTTTCGGGGTACCTATTCATATATTACGGGTAATGTACCGTTGGGGGACTTTTTTTTCCGTCCCTATAGCTCTTTCTCCATTTATCCATACGTACACGAAGAAACGTCTACATATCGATGCGGTATACATAGTGGTATTTATTTAGTAGGTATTCACTTGTATAGCGTTTTGTCGGCAATTTTTTCTTTTTTTTTTTTTTTTTTGTTTTTTTTTCCTTCCTCTTTGTGGTGCACGTTCAAAATACAGTGCGGTGTTGATTTTTTTTTTTTTTTTTTTTTTTTTTGGAGAAGCTGCTCAGGGAAGTTTTTTTTTTGCGAATCGATGTATGACCGAGTACCAAGATTGGGTTTAACGCACGTGTAAACGTTTGGATATTTGATGGCGCCGGAATTGAACTTTCGGCCCCGACCGTCGTATACGTACACACGCCCGTGAGTTATTTAAACGCGAAAAGGATTGGAAGGTAACGGAAAGCTCGCCGGCGTGCACCGACACACCTATACGCGTTGGGTCTATATACACACGTACAGGTAAATTTTAGGAGAGCCGTAAAGGTTACCGAGGGATCTCGCGCGAATGGTACAGCTACCGAATGATTCATGAATTCGTATTTTTCCCTGTTCACGTCACTTGGTTCACGGAAGAAAAAAAAAACCACTACGCGTAAAACTGGGCCAATGAAAAAGTAAAGTCAAATAAAGATGTATGCTTGGTATGATAAAAAAAATAAGCTGATACAAGCGAGAAAACGGTATGAGACTATGCTTTTGCAGCATACATGATGTTGTGAGGTTTTTTTTAAAACACAGCAAGTACGCGTATACTCGAGACACACCTGGTAACAATTTCGAAAAATTGAGTGCACTCAAGTTGAGTTTTCCTCGGTAATTGGATGTCTCGCGTGTACACATTTTTTCGCTCGCCTCGAGCTAGACGTAATTTCCCCTAGAAAAAAAAAGTAAAGAAAATATGCACACGCCCAAGTTCCAAGCGGTTTTGCTAACCAGCGCAAAGGAGAGATGAAATTAAAAAAAAATAAAAAAAAATAACCCAAGGTGCCGGCTCTTCTTTCAGCATGTTTTCCGCGAAAGGCGCAAGCTCGTGTCGGTATTTTTCGCGCTCAAAGCGCCGATCCTCACCATTTGCATGTAAGCTTATACACATCGGCGCGCCAAGCGCACGCTTGTATGTATGCGCGGAAGAGTTTGCCGCTTCTAATGATAATATCGTGCCTTCCCTCACCCCCTGGCCTATTTTCCTTTTTTCTAAAGCTCTGTCCCTCGTGAGGTCTCTGGTATAGGGAAATCCCTCGAGAGGACGACCCGCTATACACGGGCGTTACTTTGCACCCGAGTCGTATTTTTTTTTTTTTATTTATACATATACGTGTTGCCTGCTGCACTGTACATTGTGTATATGAGCGGCGAGTTTGGAGTGCTCAAATTCTTTTTTTTCCCCCTCGAACGTATGGGTGCGTTATATACGTAGTGGGGATTTTTTTTTGGTCAGCCTCGTGCGTTATTCGAATTTGTATCGATGAGAGTAAAAAATTTTATTTTATTTTATTTTATTTTTTTGCATTTTCTTCTTCCAAATGCCGATTTTTCACGAATTCATAGGGGGAAAAAGCATTGAAACGGTCGGCTTATTGTTGATTTTTTTATTCCAAGAACCTCTAGATATGTATTGAGCTTTTTGCCATTTCACGAATTTTATTTGCCTTTGAACGATATGTGGGGCAAATATTGCGAATGTAATGAAATTCGTGAGCCTCGTTTTTTGTTTGATAAATACCGTAGGAACAAATGAAGAAAAAAAAAAAAAGTCTCGCAATAAAACCATGGGAGCCTTTGCCCTTTGCCATTATTGTTCCTAAAAATGAAAAAGTTTTACTTTCTTGATTAAAGCTCCCACGAAAATTTCAAAGCATCAAAGTGACATATCGCAAACCTATAACGTCAAGCATCTGTCGCACATGTAAACACCAGCCCGCAAGCTCGGATAAAAGTACCAGCGACGACGTCACAACCGTAACAAAGTCACGCAAAGCGTCCGTCTATAAATACAACGAACTTCAATCCCCGACACGGATACCTAAAGGGGAAAAAAAAGAGCTGTGCACACACGCGTACAGGTGCGACCCTTATTCCCGTTCCAGCGCATAGTATAATGATTTACCTAACGAGAAAAATCTCCGACTGGCTAGTGGGCTTATCAAAGGCACGTCGAATCGAGCAAAAAGTCCGTACGTTATATACAGTCAGCGCGTCAGTTCCAACGCAATGGTAGCACTTGGGCGATAAATGCGGGCGTACAAGTAAGTAGACGATGGGAAGCGCCAACTGCCGCGATTATCGTTGGAGGAGGGTCGTCGTTCAAACGCGCGTTTCTCACTCGTTCATACATACATATATGTATATATGTGTGCGTGTGTCGTGTATGTACGCGATAGCGAAAGAGACCCTTTTAAGTAGGTACGTTACGGACTACCCTCGCTTTCTTTACTTTGCCGACTTTCTCCCTCTAGCTGCTAGCCGTTGAAGGTCGCGCTCTTGCGTTTCGCAACGCTCTTCGACGCACTCCCTTTCTCTCATCCGCTTCCGTTTTATCAAAACGACAAAAGGGGGGAGGGAGAAGGGGGAAACGGAAATCGCGATGAGAGAATTTTTCAAGCGGGTACGCTCTTTCGTTGGTGCTCTAATAAGCAGGAGTACAGCGTTGGATCTTTTTTTTTTTTTTTTTTTTTTTCCATTGATGAGGAAGAGAATCGAGTGCTCTCTTTATGTGTAGCTTTTATGAGTTTGGTGATACGGTTGTCTTTTTATGGTATGACTTTTTTGATGGTTGGAAAATACGAATGAGTCTTTGGTAAAAGGGAATCGACTTGTGCACTCGATGAAAAGGTTAATGCGAATAAAATAAACGAAAAGCGCAATAGAATTCATGTCAATCCCATCGTTGAAAACGTTGCGATGACATTGTCGATGAAACAGTTACTCAAAAGCGACACTTTGTTGTGATTCGTTACTTTGTCCTGAATTGATTTTTCCTTTCTTCCAACGATTTCGGAGCGACTATTTGTAAAATGTACACCGATTCCCTAAAAGTAAGGCTCAGTCGGTCGTCAACTTCGGAACATCGATCAAAAATAACGATGGTCTCAAACGGAATTTCGAGTGGCGGAAATCAAAGCCACCCACGAGATTATCCTCGTAGTCGCGGATACGGAGAGACGATCGCTCTAACGAAAATTCAATAACCGCATACAAGCCAATCCGTAAATTACGACCCCCCTACGTAAGCGTATCGCGGTGCAACGCGCACAAATACAGTAAATTCCGGGCGACCCGCCCGAAAGTAGAAAATCATCGCTCCCATCCATATAGCCGTTGCTGCAATTGAAAGTAAATTTGACTAGGCCTCGTTCGGTACTTTTTTTTTTTTTTTTTTTTTTTTTCCTCGTTAAACCGCTTGCGTCAACGTGCGCCCGTATCCGTACACCTATGTACGCGTGTGTTTGGGGCAAAAACGCACGTGACGAGCGGCGAAAAAAAAAAAAAAAAGGGAGAGAAGAATCAAGCTTTTTTCCGCTTGGGAAATCGCTGCGCGACTGCGGAAATGTGTCTTTTTTTCTCGACAATCGGACAAACAAAACCCCCTTTTTTTCGATTTGCCGTTTGTTTGCTTGTTGCCTATACATACCATCAACGCTTGATTGGGAACTAAGTGCACCTTTGTTTTTTTTTTTTTTTTTGTTTTGTTTTGTTCCCAAAGTATACCGAGTAATTAAAGATGAGTACCTTTCGAGAATCAGACGAACGAAAAACTTTCGATAGTACTCGTATCTCGGCGTTTTTAATTAAAACACGAGAGTCTCTTGACGACTGCAGGTATGTATAGCCGCGAAAACGGAATCTATGGGTAATAAAGGGGAATCCCCGATCCCTCCCGAGTTTAATACGCCATTATTTTCCGATGCGCAAGAAAAGATGTATGTCAGGTATTTATAGCGGTTCGCAGGACGAAGCGGCGAACCGATGCATCATTCAAGATGTATCGAGGAATTATACATCGTGTTCGACGGACAATTTCACGTGCAACGAGAAAGACGCGTCTTAGCAACATAGAAATCGGATGATGTGGTTATTGTTTTCTTGCTCTCCAAAAGAACATCAATTTCCAAAGGGTTTTCAGACAAGAAAACCTACGATCACCGTATACGTATATATATGTTGTATCCTGTGCGAGCATAAATTGGGGGGAAAAAAAAAATTTCGTTGAGAAGATTTATAAATACCTGCACAAAGCACGCAACAGCCAAGAGGATCACCAGAACGCAAGTAGCGTTCATCCTATCGGCTGGCATATCCCTTGATCCTTGATCGATACACCCCTCCCCCGATGCACGTCCGTAAGCGCTCAAAGCTCGGTTTATTTCGCGCTTTGCCGAGTATATTTATAACGTGATGGATACTATATTTTTATCTACTCAACACTTGTTCATATACGGCACTTAGATCCGATGTGCCCGGCACTTCACTCTTCCGATATTAAGTATTGCTTTAACGTCCCGATGCACGCCACTTTCGTTCCTCGCGCAGTACTTTATATTATATCGGCGTGTGGATTATTTCCTCGGGCTATCCCTGCACGTACACCGCACGTGAAATACCGTCCATCTGTCCACGTCCCTGTATAATAACGCGTTGTGCCAGTCAGGAGGAGCGAAGGAGAGTTCAACCACTGGCGCCGGAGGTTTCGCCTCGAATGAGCGCCAAAGTCGCGGGCTGGCAGCTGCAACGGCCCTCCGCTCTATACCGCCTTCACCACCACCACCACCTGCACCGTCACCGCCACCGCTGTATTTATATACCGTGTGTCGTTGTACATTTATGTGGAGCGGCTCCAGCCGTCACGTGGCCACCCGCGACACTTGTCTCCTGTCGTGTGCCATCATCCGATGCGTCCTTAATGTTACAAGTATATATACATACATACGCTTGAGCGATTCCATAGAAAAACCATTCGTGTACACTCGAGAGCTTTTGCTAATTCATGTCATAGTTTTTTGTCTTTAAAATTGCGAGGTCACGACCCCACCATTGGAAGAAAAAAACAAAATTTTTTCCATTTATCGATTTCCTTAAGGTTTTTTGGAAGAGGAGAATTCTTATGCACGACTGGTGCATAGAAGTGCCCAATATCTCTTTTTTTTTCTTTTTTTTTTTCGTCAGAGTTTATTTGTCCATGAAATGGCAATTTAGTCTGTGGAACGTGAAATACGAATGGTAAGGATTTATTTCACTAAGTTTGCTACGCAAAGATAATTTACTTGAATCAGAGGTTAGCTTGGATCGTAAAGATAATAAAATAAAATTTTCCAGGGCTTTTTTTCTACCCTTTTAACGCAACATTTTAAATCGTAAATATTACTGAAAATTACACAAAACTTGATACGTTTTTTGCTATGTCTTTCGTCTGTAATTGTGGAGAGTCAACGTTCCACGAAAATGACCAAAAATGGCCACTACAAAAACAGTAGCTACGAATTGAAGAAGAAGAATTATTGAAATTTTAGAACAAATTTATTTGCACACAGTCATGGTTGAATAATTGTATAATTATCTCATAAACTTACGCACTTGTTCTCGAAAAGGCACACATTAAAAAAAATTTGTCAGATTTTTTTTGAAATTCCCAACTCCGTAATATATTTTTGCAAAATTCATCATACACATGCACGCGCCTCCACAACTTGTACGTATTTTATAATCCTTGTTTCCTGCACTCTTTTCACCCATTTCTCTTATTTGTTGTTTCTCTGCCCTTTTTTTTTTTTTTTTTACTTGAAAAAAGAAAAACAAAAAAAAATACGGATTTCATTACATTCTTACCCACTCTATTTTCAAGAGAGGGCTACTTAAAAGGGGAAAAGCAGGACGTGTGTAGGCATCAGTAGGTGAGCGCAGGTATGTACCTTCAGAGTTAATTAAGTTGCCTCACCCACACGTCTCTGGTAGTGGATAATCGGGGGAAATCAAATACGCAGCATTTCGAGATGAATGCCCTATTGCGTATTGATCTTTTTTTTTTTTTTTGGAGTAAACAAATTAATGTAGTATGTATCAATTTAATGATGAAACTGAACTGACATATATATATATACGTGCACGCTTGCGTTGGAACGATTTGGTTATTCCGTTCGGATGAGCACGAATGCACTGATCACGAATCAAAGGTACTCCATTGGTTTCCCTTTGCCCCAAAAGAAACACGTACACGGTACGTGATGGGGTAATTAATTAGTTTAAGTACTTATATATATTTAAAAACGAATATCGGTCAGAAGCATTGATTTGCCAGAAAAAATCCGTGAGTCATGATAATTCCAGTATAAAGTTATCGGCACAGCCCACACCTCATATACTAATAGTTACTTACTACACCCATGCGCTTTCTAAGAATCCGCCGTTGCCACCATCGAGTCTAATGAGCCGTGAGCACTAGATAAGGCCAACCTCGCCCACGGCAAGCTACCCCCTAACTCGCGCTACACGCCGATTTGGCGCGGCTATACAAGATCATACACAAAGTTACGACTTGCCGCTGGACTGTGATGCGATTATACCTACTTTGGCCTCCGAACCGCGACACGATAATATGCGTGTGATCCGGCCTTGAAGCGGTTCACGTTACTGCGCGCAATTGCTTTGCTCGTTGTCCACCAATGGGTTCGTGTGTGACGAAATTAAGATAACATTGTACGTTACTTGGTCTCGGGCACGTGCTGCTGATATTGTGCGTATACTAATTATCGCGGAAAAAAAAAGATGGGTTTCTGCAGTTGACATGTTACGGCTGTGCACCCTATAAAGATATCCAATACACCGGTGAGTGACTTTTTTTTTTCTTTTTTTTTTTTAGGACGATACGAGGGGATATTGGAGTGAGCTGGGAAAATTCGTTTCCCATCGCGTGTTCGCTCGAGTGTGATATGTGAGCTGACGAGAAAACCCATCGGAAGAGGTGCACGTCTGATGTACATATCAAAATACGCACAAGTTGATAAAAGTTTCGCTGGCACTTATATATTTTTTACCGTGGATCAAGTATTTTAGCATCCAACAGATTCGTCGTCGTGTTAAGCCGATTTAAGGAATTTTCATCGCTTTTTATTTAATTTTTTATGAGTAGTAATTGCCCTGAAGCTGTACTGTAGAGAATAATACTTCAGGTAACGCACGAGAGATGGTACGTAAATTCGTTGATGTACGCATCGAATGTGCTAGAAAAGAAAGAAATTGTTCAAATTGATTCATTGAATTAAAAATGTCGTACTTTAAAGACTAATCACCACTTCAGCTCCAACTTGGTAAACATATACAGAAGCTAAAAGCATTGTAGAGCTGCGCTGTTTACAAGTTTTCCATTTTACACTTTCTATTGAGGGAAATCTGGTCATTTGATAACAATTAAGTCGAGAGAGTAGGAAATTTAGAGGGTCACAAGTATACTTTCGAGTGTAAGACTACTTATCAACACAAGCGAGTAGAAAACTCACCTGTAAAAAAAATGGAGCTGTAAGGAAATATCCTTAAAAATGACTGTCCTTCCAGATAATACCTGGGAACTTTAGTTATTAATTCATAAGGACTTTTAATAGTTAACTGTAAACGCCGTTTGGTAAGTGATGATTCATTCACAAAATCATTTAATAGATAGCCATTTAATAGTTTTGTTATTCGTAGCTCTATTTACAAGCGACTTTGGCGTTATTGGGCTTCTACACTTCTGAGTTGGTATACCGTATAGTCTTAGGGGGTGTATGGAAGGCAACATTGGTAACAAAGTTTGTCCTATAATACACTTTGTCCAAAGTGAACAACAGACGCAGGATGGTTTAAGAGCAAAGGATTTTAAGTACTTGCGAAATCAAGTTTGGATTTACGCCCGTGTTATCAAGTTTTCGATAGTTATCAGAGTTGGGCTGATACAACCAGTGTGTCGTATAGTACTTCGAGTCTGCCAACGTGAGATTCGCGGCAGATTAACAGAAAGCCGAAGTAGTGGACAGTGACCGATGGATGGTGAAAATAACGTACAGACAAGTGGAGTTAACACAGGATACGTGCACACAATGGGTTTGTTTATAACTCACCTATTACTTCGGATTTTGCATGAAAAAACCTATCCAGTTGTTACTGAACAATATTAGACACGTACTTTTTATTAATCATGTGAACAAAGTTTTATGAAACGAGAACACGTCAAAAGTCAATAGGTGAGGCGTATGCAGCGTCACAATTTCAGTAAATAGGTATTAATGAAGAGACAACCTGGACGTATAGGTCCTACAAGTATTCAACTTTTCACTCCAGAAGTTTAACCTGCTGCATGTTTCATAAATTTCGTTTACATGAAAAAAAAAAAAAAAAAAAAAAGTACAGGATCGAGGCGGAAGGAGGGTAGGGTGCATTTAACCGACAATACTTGACGGGACGAAAGGTCCGGCGTGCACACTCGTGCTATTTTATTTTATTTTATTTTTTTTTTTTCCCTTGCTCTCTCGATTTAAGTTCTTGTTTCTCCCTTTTTTACTCTCCGCCTATACGTATATGCCTACTGCTCCTTTTTATACAACGTATACCTGTTATACGCGAAAAAGCGGAAGTTAAAAACGAGTGCAGTAGCTCATACATATTGTACAGGTCGGACCTGCAGAAGAACGCCAGCTGGCCGCATACGTAATTTGCCCTCCCCCATATCTCTTTGCGTATGTGTGTGTGTGTATATCCCCTTTCTCCCTTTTACTATGTATATTTATGTGTACTCATGTGTATGTACAAGTGTAAAGGTATACGTGAGAGCCAAACCCGATAGAGATCTCTATTTATTTCTTTTTTTTTTCCCCCTTCTACCCCAAACTTAGATGTCTACACACTGTAAATATACACGAGCACGAGTCAAAGTATCTCTATCTGGGCGCAGCTACTTTTTTTTTTTTTTTTTTTTTTTTTTTTTTTTTTTTTTTTTTTTTTTTNCCCCGACCTTCCTTCTATAATGGGAGGCCTCCTATCCCTCTTCCCTTCCTTCTCCCAAGTGCTAAGTGCCCTTTATAGGAGCTGAACGTAAAGCACTATAATAATAAAAAAAAAGATATCGTCAATTTCGTTTTTTCGCAGGAGTTTCCCAATCGAGAAATAAGGCCATAACGTTTCCCATGAACACGAGGCTGCCCTTTCCACTGCCCACGGATCCGTTTTTCGCTTTTTTAGAAAAACCCTGGTATCACAACCTCAGCAGAGAGCAGGCGACCTTTGTCTTGAAGCAGCGCAAGATTGATGGTTACTTCATCATAAGACCGTC